GTTTTACCCCAAGTTGAAGAGGACAACAGTGTAGTGATTACTCTCCTTTGGGTTAATTTGAGCATGACTTGGATGATCCCTAAAGAAGACTTTAACACTTCTTTGGGCTAGTGTAGAACCTCATTTGGCATTCAGTGGTTGGGGACTGTTGTTTGCTGAATTAATTGTTTTCCCTAGAGTTTGACATGACAATTGAGAAAGTCTATCAGCTGTGAACATGAACCAAGGCTTTCTTTCTACTTTTGCAGAAGCATATATATCATTATAGCAATTGCCAAAGCAATCTCTACATATAGGTGGCTTTCTACACTTAATTGTCATCATTTGTTATGGGCATATTTTTCATCTAAATATAATGCTATGGATATTAGCTTCAACTTAGCTTTAGATGTCTTTATATAAGGATTCATATATAATATCTTTTTTATTAATATACATCTCTGTTTCATTACAGGAAAAAAAAAACCATCCATTCCCTTCCCTCCCCTCAATTTCTCTCAAACCAAACATAGTTTGAGGAAATCAAAATCGAATGAACTAATTATATCATTTAAATGAAAAAACATGCCCTCTACCAATTGAGTGATTAGCATAGCTACAATACAATTCCAAACATATGAACGGGAGGGATTAACTCAATACAAGAATATTATGACTAGTAAGGCTCTAGGTCCCTTGTTGGTCCCCGGTCCTACATGTGAGTGCGAGGAAGTGGGATTGCTTTTGTACCCGGGAAATTGTCCCTACAACCTTTCATATTATCATGTTAATTATTTGAAGGCTTACCAAAACAATCTTCTTTATTCATTTGAAGAAATTGCAGAGAATCTTGGCCCCTCAAAACGCCTCATACCCATACATCGCATCTCCTCAGTCTCCCTCATCAAGAAATCAAAAGGCTTTGAGCACTGACCGCACCCTTTTGGAACGCTTATAATGTTTCCTTTACACCAAGGCGATGATCTGTTAAATCAGATTTCGTGCAAAACCCACCAACAGAAAATCGCAGAAGATCCGATACCGAATCATGCTTCGCTGGATGCTGGAGACGCAACACCTAATCCTAGTAAAGGGAAGCGGTCGCAGCGGAAATTATGCAGTAATTTTACTGAGGATGAACTTGAGAAGCTGAGGTTGCATAGGGATATAGAACGGAGGAGGAGGCAAGACATGGCCACCCTTGGTGCCAAACTTCGGTCTCTTCTTCCTCTTGAACATATCAAGGTGAAAACCCTAGTCTAATATTAATTAATTTCTCCTTCTTATTTCATACTTTCCCTTTCCCAAAAAATTGGCTACCCACTTTATTTCTTTTGGGATTGTTTCTCTTTCTCTCCTTATTACTATCCTTCTGTGTGATTCATTTGCTCATGATTATGCCTTATGATTGTTGGGATTTCAGGGAAAGCGGGCGATGTCAGATCATATGAATGAGGCTGTGAATTACATAAGATATTTACAGAAGAAGGTCAACGAGTTAAGTGTTAAGAGGGATGAACTAAAGAGAGTATCAAATTTGAGAGCTCTTGGCTTCAAGAATGAGACCTTGAATCACAGCTTCGTAGTTCGGCAAAGTTGTGTTGGAATTGAGGTCATGTTTCATAGCCAGTGCTATGGGGAGCTACAAGGTTGGCCGCTGTCAAGAGTAGTAGGAGTTTTGGTTGAAGAAGGACTTAATGTTGTTAAATGTGTGTCCACCAAAGCAGCAGAAGGATGTTTAGTTCATGTCATTCAAGCTGAGGTAAAGTAGTAAACTAATTAACTCTTATTTTAGTTGCTTGATTTGGGGTTCTCTTCTTCTCTCTTTTGGTTATTAAAGTTGATTAATTAGTGAAATGAGATTAGAAATTTTCAATTTTAGCTTCTTAATTTTATCACCTTTGCTTTGTACAGGTGAAAGATCCAACATGTTTCGACCTATTAGAGATCCAGCAGAAACTAACCCAAGTGAAGTAATTTACAATAACATTTTTTGTATTTGAACTATTTGTTAACCGCTTATTCACCTCTTTGATGTAAATATAGTTGTCCGATTTCTAATTTGAGCATCTATTTAGTTCTGTTGACGCGATTTATACATGAATTGTACACAGTTAATATTCATCTACACTGATTTCAGCATTTTGAGGAACTTTTTCTGTGATATGAGATTTTAGTTAGGTAATTAAAAATGTGATGAACGGTTATTTTCATGTTCAGATTTTCTACAAGGGCCTTTATTTGATCCCTGTTTTTGCAGCACCTTTATTGCATTAATTAACATTGCACAATATTAGTAGTGTAAGATGCAGATGTAAGTTTGAAATTTGGAAGGCCAACTAATAATGCTGCAGTATTGCTTCAAAGGTGATAGTGTTTATGAAAAAAATTCTTGTGTCTGTGTATCTATATAGAGTATGTTTACTGGCTAAAGAAATGTACTAGAGCTTGCTTGTTATATTTGAGTATGACTTGTTATAACACAGCCAGTGGGGTGTTTGTGAATAGATAGAGGGGATGCTTTTCCTTGATGCAATTGAGAGGCTAAGTTATTTTTTGTTTTTCTATCAATAAATTCATAAAAATGATTGAGGTATATATTTGCAAGGATTTTCTTTTATCTGTGTTATGAGCTTTTTGTTCGTGAGGTGCTCCGGGAGTGATGAGCTTAGATTCTATTTCTACAGTTTGTTGGTGTGGCAAAGTTCTAATTTTGTTTTGAGGTCATCTTTTGGCTTTGAAGTGTTTATAGACGTGAAGAAAAAGTTTATATATATATATATACATATATTTATATCAATAAGTTACTTAACCATATGCTTATATATGAGAAGCCTTCGTGTAATGGTAAGGTAGAGATCCTAAAACCCCTTGATTTCAGGTTCTTTAGTCTTGTCATGTGTAAGTTTAGTTTAGCTTTAAGTTGGCTTTGTATATTTTTTAATTTAATTTAGTTATCAATTAATTTATATTGTGAATCTATGATATATTGATTAACTTTTATTTGTGCCTAAAAAAAAAAAAACTATTATTTGTTTGATATATGATCCGAATTATGACTGGCACCCAACCAAAAAAATAAAAAGACATAATTAACCCTTTCATTCTACATAAGCTTCTGCAATAAAGCTTGTACATAAAACTTGAGTATCAGCTTGTAGAATCAATGATATTATATGATGCATTCCAAAGGGACCAATCTGCTCGTGCTGAATATCAAATCCCAGCTCACCATGATCTGCTAGTATGTTTTTGCAAGATCTGCCAACTCAGATTTTATGGACACACACAAGAGATATCTTGTCATGTTCAATTTTCTGAGTTGTTCATTGCTCACACGTTGAATCCAATTACATTATTGGCTCTTTTTAGGTAAATTTGCATTATTGTTGGATGTGTGTCTTTATTGCAGCATCTAGAAGCATAATATGGGTGGGTATGAGCCAATTATTTTGGATTTTTCTTTAAAAGGGATAACCCAGTAGAGTTTTTCCCAAAATGTGTGCATGCTTTCTTTCTTTCTTTTCTTTCTTTTCTTTCTTTCTTCCTTCTCTTTTATTTATTATTATTGTTATTATTATTATTATTTTAATAGGAGGAATGTTGGAGGATGGGGGAATTTTACGAAGTTGCTGATTGAAGGACCTAACCAGAGGTTTCGGATGCATTTTTCTAACGCAGCCATTGCTGCAGCACAACATGTGCATGCTTTCAAGGAATTCAATGTGACTAATATTGATGGCAGTATCTAAAATAATGCTTGAACCTTAAGAAGTTGGCTTTGCTAACGAGTGAATTTGCTTCAACATTAATTGTTGCCCAAGGTTTAATATATATACGATTTCTCACCAGCCCTTTATCTCAGCGTGATGAGGGCTGGACATATGTGATTTTAATCGGGACGTAGAAATTAATCTCCAGTCACAACAAATGTGACAATCTCCAGACGGAAGCTGTGAACCTTTAATGGATTTTCCAATGTTTTGGGTTGCTTTCTTTGTAGGACAAGAATCGATTCTTCAACATTGGACTGTAATTTTTAATAAGCAGCTTTTTTTGGGGACAACTTCTTTGAATTTATCACATAAAAAAAAATTATTTAACCACATTAAAATATTGTAAAATCTAAATCATGTTATATTTTAATATAAATTTTTTAATTTATAATTTAAATTGTATTAAATTATAAATTAAAAAATTTTAAATATTTATAAAAAATATATTAAAGTGGTCCAACTCATATTATAAAATTTTTTATTTAAAAAAAAAATAAAAAAACGATTACTTAGAAGAAAAGATCTTCAAAACCTTACCTTGCAGAAGTTTCATTGTGACCTTTTTGTTGGACACTAGACCTTAAAAAATGTTCTCCTTTTTCGTGGCGAGTCATGACCGACCGTGACCATATATATAACAATAGAATATAAGATTTAATGTGTTTCTAGTGTTCTTCCCTTGATACTGTTGATGTTGCGGCCCTTTTTTTTTCTCTTTATTCCAACGTGGAAAAATTGGAGGGGCACAATGCGCACGGCACGTTGGAAACTTTTTCGTCCAGATACCATGAAACGAGATGAATTCATTCAGAGGACCAGATCTTTTTATTTAATCATTACGTACTGTATGTTTATCGTCTGCAGACTCTGCAGTCTGCACAATAAATTAATGCTTTTGCTGTTTATTTTGAATATTTAGATATTAAACAATTTAAAAATCTTATCGTTGAACAAAATTTAATTAATATTTAGGATCTTTTAATATGCAGTTGTGATATTAACCAATTAATTATTAAAAAAATTTATATTAGTTTTAATTTTTTTTAAATTAAAATTAAAATTTTAAATTATTTTATTTTATTTAATTAAAATTTAATTTAAAATTTAAAAAATATTTTATTAAATATTAATTAAAACTTTAATTTTGTTAACAGTAAAAAATTACTATACACAAATCTCAATCATTAATTAGTAATTATTTATTTTTAAAAAGTGAGATCTTAATTTTAGTGAGTACAAATAATTTTCATAAGGTACAATTTTTGTATATTCCAACCACTCAACCATCCCTCCAACAATCAATCCCTTGAATTCTACTACAACAGTGTAAGACAACTCACAGAATTATTCATTCAGTTTGTTAATAAAAATAAAAATAAAAAATTAAAAACTAAAACTGCAACTACACTTAAATAAAGCATTAGTTTTTTTTTAAAAAAAAAATTATGTTTTTTTTTTTTATTAAAGATAAGAAAATTTGACAAAAAGGCCACATGGTAAGTCGACTCCTTTTGGATTTTAGTTTTTACGTCTGAATGCACTAGTCAAGGAACCAACAGAATTATATTAATTTCCAACATTTACCAGTTAAGTCAAATTGTTCATGGAGAACGTGCCTGAATATAAACCTCCATTTCTCCAGTACATAAGTCTATTTGAAAAGCT